TTTTTTTTTTGAGTCACAGTCTTGCTCTGTCACCCAGGCTGGAGTGCAATGGTGCAATCTCAGCTTACTGCAACCTCTGCCTCACAGTGAATGTTCAAGTGATTTCTGGCTAATTTTTGTATTTTTAGTAGAGATGGAGTTTCGTCATGTTGTCCAGGCTGCTCTCGAACTCCTGACCTCAAGTGATCCACCCACCTTGGCCTCCCAAAGTGCTAGGATTATAGGCATGAGCCACTGTTCCTGGCCTGATTTTTTTTTTAATGTGCTTTTTTACATATTTTTACATTGAAATATAAAGATAATTTTTTTACTGTAAGAAAATTCTTGTTACAATTTTTCTCCCTAAAATGATGCTGCAAAGAGTTGCTTATTAGCAAGACATTTAATCAGAATAATGTTTACCCACATAAATGACAGGCTTTTCCAGATTCACAATTAAAAATTTAGTTAACAGATACTAGTTTCATAATGTTAAGCTTTTTCGTCTATAAATTAAAGCAAAATCAAAACAAACAAACAAACAAAAAACATTGGGGCCTGTTACACTTGTTTATCTGGAAATCACCAGGATACAACCACAAGAATAAATGAGCCACAAATTAACATGAATGGGAAATTTCAGAAACTGCCAAATGGGCATAGTTTGAAAGCTTACCCAAGCTCATCCTTGTACTTCAGAGCAAAAATCACAAACTCCAGGAAGCAAACTGCAAACGTTTTGTTTGGCACATAGGGAGTTTTGTAAAAATTTGAATCAGTTGCCAGCATTTATGAATTTGAAGATTTTATATAAAAATTCAAACTCTCGCCGGGCGCAGTGGCTCACGCCTGTAATCCTAGCACTTTAGGAGGCTGAGGCAGGTGGATCACGAGGTGAGGAGTTCAAGACCATCCTGGCCAACATGGTGAAACCCTGTCTCTACTAAAAACACAAAAAATTAGCTGGGCATGGTGGCGTGCGTCTGTAATCCCAGCTACTTGGGAGGCTGAGGCAGGAGAATTGCTTGAACCTGGGAGGCAGAGGTTGTAGTGAGCCAAGATCATGTCACTGCATTCCAGCCTGGGCTCTGTTTCAAAAAAAAAAAAAAAAAAAATCAAACTCTCAGCTGGGCATGGTGCCTCATGCCTGCAATCCCAGCACTTTGGGAGGACAAGGTGGGCGATCACCTGAGGTCAGGAGTTCGAGACGAGCTTGGCTAACATGGTGAAACCTCTTCTCTATTAACAATACAAAAATAGCTGGGCATGGTGGCAAGCGTCTGTAATCCCAGCTACTCAGGAGGCTGAGGTGGGAGAATCTCTTGAACCAGGGAAGCAGAGGTTGCAGTGAGCCAAGATCGCACCATTGCACTCCAGCCTGAGCAACAAGAGCAAAACTCTGTCTAAAAAATCAAAAAAATTCAAACTCTCTCTTGAAAAGCACCTGATGCTAATAATAAGGGCAGCATGGTGAGTCCCATGCCACCTCCCAACCCTTTTCCTATCAGGCACAATGGCTTAAACTAAGTATCAACCTCACACTTTAAGTGGGACAAGTATTCTCTCTCCCACCCAGTCCTCAGTCAACTCATGTGTTACCCTCCAGGCCTTGGGGGCTTTAAGTCTTGTATTCCCCTGCTTTAGAGTAATTAAATTCAGTTAAGGAACTTAAAATAAGCAGCTGCTTTTCCCATAAATACAAGTGTTCCTAAATTGTAGACTCAAATAAAATAAGTCCTGTTGTCTCACCAAGAGTACCATGAGCCTCTGGTCCTCTGCCAGCTGAATAAATTTACAAACCACAGGTTTAAACAAAAGGACTCAAAATGTCGTTACGTACACTGATGACAAAATAGGAGGTTAATTCCATTTTTCCACTCACCTGTCCAATTCCAAGGAAAATTGGTGACGGGAAACTACAAAGAACACAGAACAACAAATCAGTTAAGCAAATATAACAATCTGAAGATAGTACATAATAAATAATGACAAGTTATTAAAAAGTCTGAGAAAATGAAAATTTATCAAGCTTGTTCACTTTTCGTTTATTTCTTTTTTTTAATTTTATTTTTAAGACCATGTCTTGCTCTGTTGCCCTAGCTGGAATGGTGTAAACGTGGCTCACTGGAGTCTCAGCCTTTTGAGCTCAGAAGGTCTCTCACCTCAGCTTCCTGCCACCCAGGCTGGAGTGCAGTGGTGTGATGGCTCAAGCCATCCTTCCTCCTCCACCTCCCTAGTAGCTGGGACCACAGGCACATGCCACCACCCCCAGCTAAACTATATATACATACATTTATATATATATATATTTTTTTTTTGTAAACATATATGTGTGTGTGTGTGTGTGTGTGTGTGTGTTTTTTTTTTTTTTTTTTGAGATGGAGCCTCACTCTTGTCACCCAGGCTGGAGTACAGTGCTGCAATCTCAGCTCACTGCAACCTCTGTCTCCCAGGTTCAAGTGATTCTCCTGCCTCAGCCTACTGAGTAGCTGGGATTACAGGCTTGCGCCACCGTGCCCAGTTAATTTTTGTATTTTTAGTAGAGATGGAGTTTCACCATGTTGGTCAGGCTGGTCTCAAACTCCTGACCTCAAGTTATCCACCCGCCTCAGCCTTCCAAAGTGCTGGGATTACAGGCGGGAGACACTGTGCCCAGCTAAACATGACATATTTTTAATTTGCCTCAAAATACTTTGGGGGGGCGATGGTGGAGTAAGTGGGAGAGGGATACAAATGCAGCAAAGCTGTGGACTCTGGGTAATTGTTACATAGTGATTCATTATACTAGTTTTAAAAGATAATATACCCAGGAACAAATCTAATCAAAGATTTGCAAGAAAGGCATCTGTATAAATCATTATACATCAATATTCTAAAAATTAAAGATCTAAAATAAAGGTCATGGGTTGGAAACTTGATACTGTAGTGAGGTCCATTATCCCCAAACTTATTTATAGAATCAGTGCAATCTCAGCAGAAATATCAACAGATATTTTGTGGAAACTGACAAGCTGATCCTAAAGCTGAATGAAAAAAAGGCAAAGAGCACAAACCACCCAAGACAATCCTGAAGATAAGCAAAATCAGAGGAATTACTCTAATGGATGTCAGAATTCATTTTCAAATTACAATAAATGAGATTGCATGGTAGTTGCACAAAGGTAATCCAACAGGACAATGGAAAAGAACAAAGGTCAAGACCGAGACACACATATATGGATACCTGATTTATGATACAGATGCCACTGCAGAGCAGTGGGGAAAAGATCTTTCAGCAAACCCAGATCTTTCAGCACTGGGTGATTTGGATGCAGACTCCTGACCTCTACCTCACATCATATTTAACAAGGCAGGACCACACCTGCACCGGCTCAACCCTTCATTGGCTCCCAGTCACTTCTCAGGCTACTTACAAAACTGGAATACCCCATAAAACTCAGCCATCAACCTGTATGTTGGAGGGAAACACACCTATCTCAGACAGGCTAAGAAGAGAATAAGGAACAAATCTACCTTATACCTTATCAGAGAAAACAGAATGAATGGCTAAACAGTAAGAGCATGCAAACAAAATTAACTCTAGTGAGTGCTAGGTCATCCCACCCATACACTCCCTTCCTCACAGAAGCACCCATTCCCCAGCTGGGCTCTCTGCTGAAGAAAGCTGTCTGATAGTAGCATGTCTACTCGCTGAGCATAGCCTGCATTTTAACTGTTGGTCTCTGCAGGGGCCTAACGGCTACACCCCAGCCCCAATTCAGGACAGCTCTGCAGAGCCAGTCCGGCTCTAGAGCCCCTAGGATGAGGCCTTTGCTGTAACTGCATCAGAGCTCGACTTTTCCCTCTGCCTAATTCAGCTTCCCAGGATCACTTTCCAACACACTTCCTAAGCCTCTGAGAACACAACCTGTAACATTAAGCAAAATCACAAGGCAACAATATAAACAAACAGTAAAACAACAACAAAAAGGGGTCACATAGCTGGGCACGGTGGCTCACACCTGTAATCCTGGCACTTTCAGAAGCTGAGGGGGTGGATCACCTGATGTCAGGAGTTCGAGACCAGCCTGATCAACTATGGAAAACCCCCGTCTCTACTAAAAATACAAAAATTAGCCAGGCATGGTGGTGGGCACCTGTAATCCCAGCTACTTGGGAGGCTGAGGCAGGAGAATGGCTTGAATCCAGGAGGTGGAGGTTGCAGTGAGCTGAGATCACGCCACTCACTGCATTCCAGTCTGGGCGACAGAGTGAGACTTTGTCTACAAAAAATTAATTAATTAATTAATTTTGAAGAAATAAACAAACAGTAAAACAACAACAAAAAGACTCACAGACAGTAAGACAAAGAGCCCAGCCTAGAAGAAAATATAATGCATGGAAGAGAAGGAAGTCTTCCTAATTGCTTCAGGCCACAGAACACCTCAGAAATAATAAAACCAAAAAAAACAAGAGCTCAAAGTTAAGTTGATGAGAGAGTCAAAGGAGATAAAAAGAAAGCATGCAGACCTAAGGAAACCAACCGAGGATCCCACAACCTAACTGCCACATGAGGAAATACCTCTAGAAACACCCAGGAGCTAAATGGCCACTGCTGGAAATGGAATCATCAACACCTGAGGTGATCATAGTGCATGCAGAAGAAAACAACTCTAAAAGATCAATCAGTCTGGGAGACAGAAAACCACCACCATACAGGGCTAGTTACTGGACCTCGACTTTAGAAGACTATATTCCATAACTTTGTATTGAATTCTCTATAATTAAAGTTGAATCACCTTACTGAGTTATTAAACTACTCAATAGGCCAAATGCTGTGGCTCACGCCTTTAACAGCACTTTGGGAGGCTGAGCAGTTGGATCACCTGAGGTCAGGAGTTCGAGATCAGCCTGACCAACATGGTGAAACCCCGTCTCTACTAAAAAATACAAAAATTAGCCAGATGTGGTGGCACACACCTGTAATCCCAGCTACTCAAGAGGCTGAGGCAGGAGAATTGCTTGAACCCAGGAGGCAGAGGTTGCAGTGAGCTGAGATCGTGCCACTGCACTCCAGCCTGGGCGACAGAGTGAGACTCCATCTCAAAAAAATATGAAAATAAAACTGAAACACGGGGTCTAAAGGAAACACAATGACCTTAGGTTTTTAATTTTTTTTTACTGATCTTAGACCTCTTAAATTTAGAGGGATCATTCAAGACTTTTTTTTTTTTNTATTTATTTTATTTTATTGGACAGCCTCCACAAACCCCTAGGACCAGAATGAGTTTGGAGTGACTCCTGTCTTTGTTATTATTTTGAGATGGAGTTTCACTCTGTCTCCCAGGCTGAAGAGCAGTGATGCAATCCCCACCCACTGCAACCTCTGCTTCCCAGGTTCAAGCAATTCTCCTGCCTCAGCCTCCCAAGTAGTTGGAACTACAGGCGTACGCCACCACATCCAGCTAATTTTTGTATTTTTAGTAGAGACGGGGTTTCACCATGTTGGTCAGGATTGTCTCAATCTCTTGACCTCATGATCCACCTGCCTCAGCCTCACAAAGTGCTGGGATTACAGGCGTGAGCCACCACGCCCGGCCCTTTTAAGACATATTAATCTTTGTAATGAAGAAATATATATTTGAAAGTCAGTCATTCTTTCAGTTGAAGTTCTATTTCTCTTTTCTCCATTCAATTCAGTTAAAACTAAATTTCATATACACATGCTATGACACTCCCCATCTAAATAACTCTTCAAGTGCAGCCAGCATGACTCACGCTGTGGCCACTCCTGATACGATTCGAGATGAAATTCCCAGGGTGGGTATCAAGTATTCCTGCCAAAAAATGTTTAAACCAAATGAAATCGATTCTTTAGATCTAACTTTCAGTTAGAAAATAGCAGAAAATAAGTTAATTGAGACTTCAAAAAATAAATTGGACAATCCAAAATGTGGGACATTTTACAAAACAACTGGTCCAGGCTTTTCAAAGCCAGTATTATGTGGAGGGGGCGATATAGGGAAATTTTCTACATTAAAAGAAACTAAAAAGACAAACCTGTATGTATTGCATGAGCCTTGATTGCATCATAAAACCATAAAAACATCTTTGGGACAATTGGCATTGTGGGGGGAAAAGGAGAAATGAAACTTTTTATCTAAGGAATTATCCGGCAAAGAGAGGCTCTGGAATGTAACAGTAGTCATATCACTTCTCTTTGAGCTAAATAGTTACCTCTTAAAGCCACTTGCTATGTGGGAGCTAGACTGATACCAAGTAGCCACAAAATGTCACACACCCTATAGTTGGACAATGTGTAGCCAATTACTAACCAATGTTATTTCTGCAAACCAGTGAGAATTCCTGACAAACCACTTTCTAATCACCCCTCCCTGATTTGTCCTTTTTTTCTTTAAAAACTTGAGCCTCTCTTTTGTTCTCCTGAGCACTCCCCAAAGAAACCTGTAATTATTTCAAGTGTCGCAGGCTGCAGTCTTCAACCTCAGCCCAAATCAGCTCTCTGTATTAATTTTGCCTCAGCTTCTTTTTAGGTAGACCAGATGATTATAGATTTATTTGATAGTAGATGATTTTAGGAAGTTACCGTTAAGTTTGTTAAAAGTGAAATGATACTATATAAGAGAATGTCCTGAGGCCTCAGGAGAGGCGAACTGAAGTATTTGACAGGGCAATGCTCTGAGTCTGCAACTTACTTTCAGTGGCTGGAGGGAGTCTCAGTACTGTGTGTTCACTCTCCTTTATTTCTCGTTTTCAGTATGCTTGAAACTTTTCATAATAAAAAGTTTGGGGGAGGAGGAATCTAAGTAATCCTCATAAAAGTTAAATAATTAGGCCGGGCATGGTGGCTCATGCCTGTAATCCAAGCACTTTGGAGGCCAAGGCGGGCGGATCACCTGAGGTCAGGAGTTCAAGA